ATAGGCAGTCTGTGATGCCTACACTCAAGCTAAGTATATTTATACATGTACATCAATAATGGAAAGTAAAATGACCTGTTGAAGGATCATGTGCATGATCTATCTCATAAATTCACTCTTTCTTCTGCTCCAGTCCTGCCATAGTAACTCTTGTTTTCGTCAAATATTCAACCATCTAATTTTAACTATTTCTTCTAATACAGAAGTGACAAGCTGAAGTACTGGCTTATATCCTGAGCTCTGCTTCCACAAGCCTTTATGAACAAACAAGCGTGAGATTATCAACTCCTCCACATTGTCATCAAGAAGTGTGGCCGTATCTCTGGAAACTTCAGAGAATGATTCATGAACCGATACGTCTGAGTTGGAAACTGGTACGGATGCTCACACCTCTTCATACGCTGTTACATGTCAGGATAACACTGTACTTGATGATTTTGGTGGATAGTAATGAAATAATGCTCCAGGGTTCCAATTCGCAGCCCTCTTCAGTGTTGTATTTTCAAGGAAGCACAAAACATCAAGATTTCGTAGCTCCCCTGTTCTTTAGAGTTGTCTCCTTCACCTTTGCATCATGCCATGTTATTTAAAAAAAAAATAGCATTACATCTAAATCAAATGTGCTGTTTTCTTAATTAATTGAATACAGTGAGATTAACCGTTTGGGGAATTTTTTTTCTAAATGCCTTGTTTCATAATCGTACAGCCCGTGTCACATAATTACACTAAGTCTGAATTATAGTCATTTGATTTGGGATTGGAAGCCACGTTGAACACAAAATAATTGGCTCTAAAAAAGTGGGCCCCTAAATCATAATCACATTCTGAGTACATTAAGTGAAGTTCCGTACATGTATTTCCCCTGCTGTCTGCAATTTATTACATTTTCATTTCCAGTTTTAGATATCATAGCCCCCGGTATCTGTACTGTGCAAAACTAATTAACTCCCCTTTTGCACTTTATTTTTTTATTCTAAAAAGCCAGATCATGAAGAGACCCGAAGAGTAGTGGTGGTGTCTACCAGATCAAAACTCTTTTAAGAAAGAGCTAATAAAGTCTTTCTGTGGTGTCACCTGACAAAAATCCTGTGCAGTCTTTTCTTAATTTGTCATATATATTCATAATATAAATTAAAATTTATAATATTGAAGGTTTGACAGAATCGTAGTTCTCTAATTCTAAAGTTAGAATTGCCCAAACAAAGCCTTAGAAGTGCATACATGTACATGCATTGTGCATTATAGCATACAAGACTATGGCAAACATTGAGATGGAATTACTAAAAAATTGGAGAATTTTTGCGAGAACTTTTGGCATAACATTTGGGATGTACAGAACCTCGCATTTATGTATTCAAAAAGTATTCCCAGCGTTGCTTGAACGGAACTCGCTTTTACAGCCTGTTTCTTAGTCTCAGCTGACGGCCTATGAAAGAGCCAGGGTCGGATAGAATCTGCCCTACTCTGATATCGCCGCAGTGCATTTTTTTACGTGCTGAGCCTTCAGGAGGTTTTGTAGAAATCGGACATGTACCTACAGTTCTCGCGCAGCGTCCGTTTTTCCCGATGTAGTTTATTCAAAATCGTAAACCTTTCCCCCGGGCTGGCGCGCGTGACCGTGAAATTCAGTCGATAATACCAAACTTCACATATACTGACAATAAGTATCTAATTACACGTACATGCAACCTGAATTTTCACATACACGGGCATGGGAAAACCATGTTCCGCTGTGTCTACGTATATTTTTTCGTCGGAGTTCATGAAGATATTTTCTTTTCTTGGTATCTCGCTTGACTCCTACAAGCACACGGAAGTAACAAAGGAACCCCCCCCAAATAGTCTCTGACTTTTCATTTTCTTCATATTTTCCCTTTTTAATTTATTTCTTATCTAAAGCATTTTGATATTACTGGAGTTGGAAAGTGTTTCACCTTTGCCTTTAATCTACTTTGATGATTATAAAGAAACTGAAGCAATCACAAGAATAATTCAAACCGTATAAAAGTAATGATGCAAATTAATTTGATTTCCGAATAAGTTCAATTAACAACAGGTTAGACAAAGGTTTTCTCGACAAGGTCTTCAAATATGTCCACCAACCTTTGCAATTGAATGTTAAATGGCTAACTTGGTTTTCCCAATTCAAAGTCAAATTCGTCTTCCACGAATTTGAATATTCGTGTTAGTGAATTGGAATAAAAAGTTTAAAAACAGAAGGACAAACCTATGATTGTTATGTCTTTCGTTTCCAAAACAGATGTTGACTTTGTTACAACACTTCAGGAATTTCCTAAAAATATCGGGAGAATCGTCCAAGACAATCAATCCATCTCGCCTGGAGATGCTGCATCGACTGAGGAAGAACCAGGAAAGCTCAGAGTCGTCATCATTGGCTCCGGACCTGCCGCTCTCGGCGCTGCTCGAAGACTCCAAGATCTCGATCAAGCAGACAGAACAGTCATCAGCATCTTGGAAGAGTCAGACAAACCAGGAGGCCCAGCCTCGTCTGTGAGGGACGGTCAAGGCTTTCTCTGGGACGCCGGTTTTCACGTCGTCTCCTCCCATTACACCTACTTTGACCGAGTCCTCAACATGGCGGTCCCCGAGTGGAACTATCAGAGCAGGGCGTCCTTTGCCTTCATGAAAGGATATGACAAGAAGAGGAGATTTATTCGTTTTCCAATTGAAAAAAACATCCACAAAATGCATAAAGGAGATCAGCAGGGAAGTCACAGAGGATCAGGCGAGAGTGCTGAAGGTGACCTCGCCAACAAATCCATGAATTTTGACGAGAGACTGCCTCAAAAATTCGGAGTGGGTCTTGCCGCTGCGTTTATGAGGAAATACAATCGGAAATTCTGGACTGTCGAACCTAGGGAACTCAACTCAGCTTGGGTTAGTGAGCAGGTTGTGGTACCAGAAATGGCGGAGACCAAGACCAAGATTAAAGAGCTAGATAATGTGAACACCGAGTGGGGAGACAGCCTTATCTTCCGCTTTCCCAAATACAATGGGACGGGTGCAATTTGGGAGTCGGTTGCTAGACAGCTTCCATGGCGCTGGTTCAGATTCCATGAAAAGGTAACAGGTGTAGATATTGACAACAAAAAAATTACTGTTGAAACTGGCCTAGATGTGAAATTTCACCGCGACATGGAATACGACATACTAATATCCACAGTCCCTTTAGATGTCTTCGTGTCATATCTACAAAGCAGTGATATGTCTTTAGGGCAGATGCAAGAGCTAGCATCCCATCTGGTATACACTCACACTCATATCGTAGGCGTTGGACTCATTGGTCGAATACCGAAGACCTTGGCTAATAAATCTTGGGTGTACTTCCCAGATTCAGATTCTCCCTTCTACCGCGTGACAATGTTCTCCAATTTTTCAGATGATCATGTGCCTAAACCAGGAGCTTATTGGTCGCTTATTTGCGAAATAGTAGAACCAGAAAAAAATTTAAAGTTCAAGCCAAAGTATTGGAGTGAAGAGAACTTGATCAAGGAATCCATGCGAGCATTAGTCTTGTACGGGTTTATATCTGCGGACATGGTAGTCTCCAAGTACTACCGCCGCTTGGAGCATGGGTATCCCTTGCCTTCACGTGAGAGGGACGTGATCCTTGACACGATACAACCTTGGCTAAAAAGAAAGGACATCTATTCCCGTGGACGGTTTGGAGGTTGGAAATACGAGGTGGGAAACCAAGACCAATCCTTTATGCAAGGGGTCGAGGCTGTGGACGACTTCGTATACGACATTCCAGAAATGACGTATCCCTATCCTGATCTTGTCAACTCTAAGAAAAATACGGACCGTGTCTTCCCTCTAGACTACGAGATCGTTATCGCTCACTACAGGGAGAATCTCGATTGGCTGAGACCATACGCCAGTCACACCCTTGTGTACCATCAAGGGAACGACCTAGGACCGCCCTTCCAGGTTTACGGGTGGGAACGACTCGAGAATGTCGGGCGCGAACCTCACGCATACCTGTATCACATCACCACATTCTACGAGCGGCTTGCAGATATTACTGTTTTTGCTCAAGGGGATTCCTTGAGAGGCAGATGTTTCAAAAATCCACTGGAGTTCCTGCGTTCTGCCAAGAAGGGTATTCCTTGTGTGAAGGTACCTGGAACTTACAGACAGTGGGGGAACATCAAATTCCCCCCGAAATATTTAGAGCATTTTAAAACAAACCCACTGCAAATTTCCAACGAGACTTTTGGACAGGTGTACAGAAATCTGTATGGTCACCCACCACCCAGCGATGGCATTGAATCCTGTAGAAATGGCTGCTTCGGTGTAACCCGGGGACAGATTCTAAGACACCCTCTAAAATTCTATCAGAAGGCTCTAGCCTATGTCAGCAAATATTCCAATCAGGAGGAGAGTCATTACCTAGAGCGATTGTGGTATCATTTCTTTGTAGGCCGCGATAAACCATCAAATGACATTTGATCAATCGCTACAATAGAGTGTTTGCAGGCTAGTGCTTTTGTTCCACTGGGTATTAACAAAGGAGGCCTCACTGTGAAACAAAAGAACTGAACTGCCCATGAAGATGGCTACCACGCAAAGCCTCTATACACTATGAGCGTCGAGCTTTTTTTGCACCATCCCACAGCCCATTTTTTATTTATTGAGTACACTGGGGTAATCTGAATTAAATCCGACATGGGTTTGTTATTATAGCTCATGATTTCATAAGTGTCGGACTGCGTGTACGGGGCACATCTGATGAACATTCAGAGCTGACCGAGGGTAAATTGGGGATTTGCGAGAACGTTATGTCGGATTCGATAAAATAAAATATTACAGGAAAAACGTATGAAGAAAGATACTGTCGAAAGAGTAATCGACAAGTTAGGACACGCCTGAAGCATGGGCATTGCAAACGAATTTTTCGGGGAGGCGGGCAATTTCCAGGGTGGCAAAGCACTCAGCGAAAAAAGGGATGGGGGCAATTTTGATTTTTTTGAAATGACGATGATCTCATTTCGCTGTCTTTTTCCCTAAATGTGTTTTCAGCCCCTCCCTGGGGAACCCCCCTAGCCTTGCTTGCAACCTCCATTGCCCGATGCATTGCCTTGTGTACAGTGTGACGATGAATCTTGTTGCTTATAGGACTTACGAGAGGTGAGATTTAGAGCAGGCTGTGAATTGAAGTCTGGAAATAAATACTCCAACAGTGCTTTTCAAATCACAGAGAGGGAAGGAGGGTGAAGGAGGGAGCATCCGCTGTGTTGTTTCAGTCACATGAATTCCCCAGATGTCCTAAAACGTGGACATTATGTAAATTGTGTGTGGATTTTGTTTGTCAAATCTAAAGTTTGGTTGCTAATTTTCCAATATATGAAGCTTTTTAATGGTAACTTGACAATAATGATGACAGCGACAAAATAAAAGTCTAAGTTTTACAAATTCTTCTCAGTTTTGGTTCAGAATATAAAAAAATTACGATGAATTACATCCAATATTTTGAGTCACATCTGAGAATGAAAGTTAGGTTGGAACCCAAATGGTCCGGCACCACGCATTTCACACAATTGAATCCTGGGAACAAAAAAATTAGAAAAAGTACAGCTTCCTCGGTCTACTTAGGAAGGTAAACTCTATGATTAAAAGATCCTTTAGACTGTTTTTTGAGAAAGAGTTCTTTCTAATGATACCTTGATGGTATCCCTCCTGTCATGCATGACAGTCACTGAACACCATTGTTTTGAAAATGGGTCATCGGGACTCAGTTGTAATACTTTGGATAAACCAGTGAATTAGGTTGTCCTCTGTCATGCTTGTCCTGGTTGAAAGTGACAACAAAATGTTATAATAATGAGGGAAGATTGCCTTTTGTCACTTTCAAGTTATGCAATAATCTGGTTTAAATGTGTTGACTTGCCCCAGGGGAGTCCAGTGCAGTGTTGAAAAGTGTTCGAGGCAGGACAGCAAGTATGCAACATGGTGCCACTTACCGAAGAGCAAAGAGTGAATGTCTTGATGAAATTTCTTGAAAACGAGCTTTCAAGCCACCCAAGCTGCATTTAGGGAAGCCTTCTCTGATAGGGATCCACTGGCAAAGTCACCATCTGGGAAAATGTGCGCAAATACGGAGAACATGGGACAAGCTTTAATTTGAATAAGGGTCATTCGGGAAGGAGGTGCACAGTGCGAACTCCTGAAAACGTTGCTGCAGTTCGACAGCAACTTGTCGAACAGCCAAGGGGAACCAGTTGCAGGAGGAATGGACTTTGGTACGCGGGAGGTGTCGGTGCATAATTAACTGTGAATTACGTAATGTGTAAATAATCGGTGTGCCCCTGATATCTTATCCAGGACAAGCATGACAGAGGACAACCTCATTCACTGGTTTATCCGTTTATGTTCGGATGCCATATGGTATGGATGGTATTCCATCATGCATGACGGGAGGGATACCATCAAGGTATCATTAGAAAGAATACTGCTTCTACTTTTCGGAGATCCTTATACATTATAATCATACTTATGGTTTGGGCATATTAACCCCTTTCCTTGTTTTTTTTTCTGGGACACCCTGTATTGGGGCAATCCAAATTAAAAGTTACTGACACTAAAAAAATCATCCATATTCATTTACGCCATGGACCAAGAATAGGGTTTTACCTGTTCACTGAATTCATAAATGGGCATATCGTTTTCCCCGTTTCAGCACTGAAACTCATTTTAGCGACGAATTGACAAATTGACCCCGGATAACATAGGCAGGATAATTACATATGGCACATCTACATTTAGGCTAAAACGCACGTTTTACCGCAGGACCCCAGGGAGAAATCAAGGTCGTAAACAGGGTTTGGTTCTAAACTTTGGCAGTGATGCAGTCACAAAAAGTGGCGTAAAAATTGATGGTGGGGTGGGGAAGGGGAATTGCGTGGGGGGATATGATTTGTCTAGCCATAGAAATTTGAAAAACGACACTATATGACACTATATAGACACTATATAGACGCGGTGTTTTCGATACTAATGTACATCTGTAGTAATATGTTACGTTCCTCAGTAATGTTACTTCAAAACGGCATATGTATGGCTCTTTTGCTTGTTCTCCTTTTCTGAGTGCGATGGAATACATTTTGGTTCTTGGGAAATCCGAAAAATTCTTCATAATCCACCTTAATCATTAACCCATCCCCATCAAAAAGTAGGTGAAATATAATTCCCCCATTAACCTAGGATTTACACCCTTGCTTTCAGGGCCGCGGTACAGGTACTTCTTGTAATGAAAATAGTCGCTAACAAAACCGCCCCTGTGATCGCGCCTTAAATCTTGCGCATGCGCACAAGCGTTCAGCTCTTGCGCCCTCAAAATTTCCATTGACGCTGAATACCGCGGTGAGTGTGGTGCCGTAGGCAGGTATGACCGACCAGGTTCTGTGTTCACCTGCTCCTGAAGAAACACCACGCAATCCTGACCATCAATGCAGCATGACGCCCCGCCGTAAAAGGCGCCTAGTTCCCCGTTTGTCAGCCCTCATCATTCTACTCACACTGGGACTGTTTTGGAATATGAACTCCAGAAGTCTGCGTGTGAAGAAAGGTAACTCTCCTTTCTCTTTTCCCACCCCAAATTAACCATGCCTCTCCTTGCATTGCTTTTATGTCCCTATGTCCATAGGATGGATGACATCTTTCCAAGTTTTAGACGCCTCAAAGCTACAACTTGACCACTTGACATTTTCTCCTGAATTGATACTTACCGTTACGGTGGTTTTGGCTGCATTTTTCCTGTGATTTTTCGACTACACACAACGAACGACGACACATGCATCAAACAAAGCCTTTGATCAATCAAGAAATCGCATTTTAGTTACGTCCAATGCCGACCAAGCAAAATTTGGAATTCTACACATTTTGGGCGTTGGCCGCACCCCTCTCTTGTATTACATTGTTCGGTGCGTTCCTTTGTTTGTTGCACGTGTCGTCGTTCGTTGTGTGTAGTCGAAAAATCACAGGAAAAATGCAGCCAAAACCGCCGTAACGGTAAGCATCAATTCAGGAGAAAATGTCAAGCGGTCAAGCTGTAGCTTTGAAACTCCTATTGGAGGCAATCAAGGGTTTATTCAGACAGTGGCGATTCAGTTGCTAGTCAAGCCCCTTTCCGCTGTTGTCGGGGAACTCATACCTTTCACAGTTCGAGATCGTGTACAGTTTCGAGTCCTATGCAAGTCGATTTTTTTCAGAATTTGGCTCAACTCGTGATTCATTGTTTCCCATTTCGATCAAAAGCAAGGTCTAGTCCGATGACAATGGACTTAAATTCACATAAGCGCCGGCGACCATTTTAGACCCGGTTTGAAAAGGGCCCCCCGGTAAGCTCGCCCTGTTGCAAAAACCCCTTTCATACCGGCCTGGCTACCGGCCCGGCTACCGGCCCGGGATGCTGGACTGGTTGTTGATCTCGAACTTCTCCATCCTGGGGTCTATTTGCAAGTACTGGTTCTATCCCAGAAGGAACATGCTTGTGGGTTTTAATCCTTCAGCTCTATGCAATGTTTACACTAATCCACTGTTAGGGTTAATGAGCATGCGCAGATGGAGGGGGAGGGGATCATCAGCATTTGGAGACACACATAAAAAGAATCAATAAATGAAATAGCAATTATAATGGTTACAATAAAAATATGACATATGGCCTGTAAGGGGCTATTTGCACAGTGACAGTGGAAAGCAATAGCTATGTGTCTGCTTGTCTATAACAATCACAGATTCCTGGATCCGTCCCAGAGAAATAAGAGCATTCATTCAGTATTTGGATGATCCCAAACCCTTCAGCATATACCTCCACACTGATGACGGGATCATTTTTAAACTGCTCAAGTATTTCGCTCTTGTGCGGTAAGCATTGATATTAGTCTTGCCACAAATTTCCAATATTAAAAATAAAACATTCTTTAGGAGCCTCTAAAGGACGCCATTTTAATGAAATATCATCATCCCTTGTTTTATGTTTTCCATGAACCACTTCTAAAATTTTGAATTAATGGACAGCTGCTTTCCTTATGTTGTTATATTTCTTTATTGCTGCATGACTTGTTTTTGTGTGCCTGAAAACCAGAATCTTGCCAAGGCTTCGCGCACCGGATTGCAAAACGGAAGGCTGCGTTCGTTTATCATAAAAAAATTGTTGCTAAAACCAATTCTGTATTTGAGATTAACAGCTTGTAATTCTCCATTTAATTTTTAATTACGTCATAGTGACGTCACAAGTATAGGTACATCTCGGCATTCCTGTTAGACTGTATCTGCTCCAGGTTTCGTGTTTATCTCACAATTTCCAAAATATAGGCAGATGGTATGATTTCAAAACAACTTTATCTCACAATTTCCAAAATATAGGCAGATGGTATGAGTCCAAAGCAAATTTAACATAGATGAGAAATTACCCGACGTTGACCGTCAATTCATCCCGGAAGCAGAAGTAATGCGACCTTTGCCTCAAGATAAAAAATGTGGAACCACCCTAGATCTCTCAAATCCCAGTGTTTTAACATCATGACTCTATTAGTTCGATTTAATAGTTGAGAAAAGTCAATTACTTTTTGAACTAAGATCGTTTCAGTTTGATACTTGATGAAGTTGTCTTGACGTCACACTAGTATGCACATTGGAGATACTATCAACTATCCGCAGCAACAACAACCAGAGGGTCTTTTTTGTTTTCCTGGCAAGCACGTGGTGATCGGAGTATTTGATTTCCAATTTGACGACGTAACATGATTTCAAAGCATGTCGTCACAAAAGTTGTAGGTCATTTAGGCTATGCAATGTGAACGAAATCAGAAGGAAACCGATCACTGTAATTTTGTTATTCAGCCCATCGGTAGATGATGATGCCATTATTTTGAAACTGCACTTGCACACCAAAATGTTCATAAATCATGTCTGGGTGTTTGTCGTCCCCTTTCATGACAGTATCGTAAATCAATGGGGACAGTCTAATCACACATTAATATGCCAAACATCGATTAGTAAAACTTGTTCTATTCTTTTTCCACAAACAGATGTGAAACACGATATGGCATTGGGTAACATTCGGACACTGAGTCCCGAAAATGCCACGATACCTGGCAACCAGTCTATTCCTACCGTGGAGGCGATACCGGTTGTGAGTAAAAACGAAGTTCCCCAGCCTGGAAAGCACAGGATCGTAATCATTGGCTCGGGACCCACTGCTCTCGGTGCTGCCCGGAGACTCTACGATCTCAAAGAAGAGAATAATGCTGTCATCACCATTCTTGAAGAGGCGGACAGACCGGGAGGCCTAGCGTCTTCTGTCAGGGACAAACGTGGATTTCTCTGGGACGTTGGGGTTCACGTCGTCTTTTCTCATTACACCTACTTTGACCGAGTCCTGAATATGGCAGTCCCTGAGTGGAACTACCGGCGAAGGGCGTCATTTGCATTCATGAAAGGATCGGATGCAAACGGGAGATTCATTCCCTACCCAGTTCAAAACAACATCCACACAATGGATAGAGGAGATCAACAGAGAAGCCTTCAAGGATTAGAGGAGGTCACCAAAAATTCGGCAACCAGCAAAAAACCCACCAATTTCGACGAGTGGCTGCTGCAGAAATTCGGAGCAGGTCTCACCGACATTTTTATGAGAAAGTACAACCGGAAAATTTGGACCGTTAACACCACAGAAATGAACTCAGCCTGGGTTGGTGAGCGGGTTGCGGTGCCAGACGTTGAGGAGATCAAGGCCAAGATTAGAGAGGTAGACAACGGAACCAACGCTCGGGATTCTGAGTGGGGGCCCAATCGTTTCTTCCGTTTTCCCAAGTACAACGGAACTGGTGGAATCTGGGAGTCGGTTGCTAGACAACTTCCAAACCACTGGTTCAGATTTCACGAAGAGGTAACTGGTATAGATATCGACCGAAAAGTACTAACCGTTGAGGCTGGCCCAGGTGCCAAAATGCATCATGTCTTGCATTATGATACTCTGATATCAACATCACCTTTGGAAGTCTTCATGTCAAATCTCCAAAGCAATGACGTTTCTTTGAGGCAGATGCAGGAACTAGCAGCCAGGCTGGTGTTCACTCACACTCACATTGTGGGCATAGGGCTCACAGGTCAGCTGCCCGAGACGCTCGCAGATAAATCCTGGGTGTATTTTCCGGACTCTGATTCTCCTTTCTATCGCGTTACGATGTTTTCCAGCTACTCAGACGACCATGTGCCAAAGCCAGGCGCATATTGGTCACTCATGTGCGAAATAGCTGAGCCACAAAGAAGTTCAAACCGGACTTACTGGAGTAAGGAAAACCTAATCAAGGAATCCATCCAGGCCTTAGTCTTGTACGGGTTCATCACTGCTGACATGGTGGTCTCCAAGCACTACCGTCGCTTGGAGCATGGTTATCCCGTGCCTTCTCTCACAAGGGATATTATATTAGACATAATACAACCTTGGCTCAAAACCAAGGACATTTACTCCCGAGGAAGGTTTGGCGGCTGGAGATACGAGGTTGCAAATCAAGACCATTCTTTCATGCAAGGGGTCGAAGCCGTGGACAGTATTTTAGGCCGTGCTCCAGAGATAACTTATATTAATCCAAATTTCGCCAACTCCAAGAAGAACTCGGACCGCGTCCTCCCTCTCAACTATGAGCTTGTCATTGCTCATTACAAAGAGAACCTCGATTGGCTAAAACCATTTGCCGACCACACCCTCGTGTACCATAAAGGAAACGAACTGGGACCGCCCTTCCAGTTCTTCAGCTGGGAGCGACTCCCGAATGTCGGGCGCGAGTCGCACACGTACCTCCATCACATCATCACTTTCTATCACCATCTCCCGGACATCACCGTTTTTGCGCAGGGCGACAAAATGTCCGGCCGATGCTTCCAAAATCCGCTGGAATACATTGAGTCCGCCAGAAAGGGTGTGCCGTGCATCAGGCTGCGCGACAAGTACAGGGAGTGGGGAAACATGGTGTTTCCACCTGAGTACCTGGAGTATCATGCAAATCGAGGTGACCCAATTCAGAGAACAAATGTTACCTTCGGGCAGATGTATCAAGACCTGTTTGGGCGGAAACCACCCAGGAGGGGGATACGGTACTGCTGGAACGCATGCTTCGGGGCCACTCGGCAGCAGATTCTGCGACACCCGCTAGAGTTCTACCAGAAAGCTCTGGCCTATGTTAGCAAATATTCCAATCAAGAAGAGTGTCATTACCTCGAGAGACTGTGGTATCACTTCTTCGAAGGGGTCGATAAGACGTGAGGGGCATACATCCTTTGAAATGAAGTGATGAGATGTTGAATTCAAAGTGACCCTTACTGCTCGATGTGGTTTTTTTGTATACTTTCACGTTCCCTGCATGTTTGTGATTAATTTGAAAGGTTACGGACAGTTAAAGTTGTTAATTAAATTGTTGGATTTACAATGTTTTTAGAGACAAAAATACTTGAGATAAATTCTTCGTTTAGTTCCATAGTTTTGCCTTCATGAAAGGTTCAGACAAAAATAGATTTAATTCTAATCTGATCAACTGGAAGACTTAATTTCCGAATTTGGGTCACTCTGTAATGCTTTATCTTTTTGTCCAATAGTTTGGTGGTCATGTTGTCACGAACAAATTTTGTGTTTTATCTCCCTGTCAGAGCCTCTCCCCATTACCCAAGAGGAGTCCATTGTTGGACCTTCCCCGAGCCGTTGGGGTTAACTCAATTCCAGTGCCAAGGTGTTAGCTGCCCAACTGAAAACCTTCATTTAGCCTCTAATCGCTATCGGTATGTAAAATCATATTGAGGTCTGAGAACTTTGACCTTTTATTTCTCTCAAAAAAGGACAACAGTCGCAGGTGATGAAATCAAGGGAATCAGCTCTTGATAAACTAATTTCAGTGTACAAAGCCCAAACAAGACCCACCAAAACCAATTGTCTTCCACCAAGAAGTCGACCTTGATGTGTTATCATCACTGCCCTTCACTTACAATACCAGTACTGGAAATTATATCTTCATTGAATTCGGACTTGAGGTGTAGCTGCAATGAATTTCCTGTGAAAAAATTTTTCTGCCACTTCCCACTCTTGTTCAATGTATGACAACAAAGTGCTTCCTCTAATAGACATTTAAATTAGCCATACTTTGCAGGACAACTGAGGGCGCTGTTGCTGTTGTATCTGTTCAAATTATGATTCCAGAATCATTTCTACTCGCTGAAAATATTTCTGAGAACTGTTTGCTTGTTTGTTTATTGCTTTGTACTTACACAACAATGAATCATCAAAGATGAGACTCAGCAAAATCAAACATGCAGGATTTTCGTGTACAAACCAGTGCAGCATTAAGCTTTCTTCGTGAGATGATATCATAGGTTTGTCTCATGAATATGGTAAAAGTAATAAAAAGACGCTAAAATACCCTCTGACATAGCGAATTAAAAGTTGAAATGAAGTTACTGAGACACAAAGGTGGGTTTTAGAGTTTTGTATTTAAAAAGAATTTGCGGCAGCCCTCTAAGTTTGAGGTGTAATGGCTGCTGCAGATTCAGTCACCGAGTTACCAGCATTAGGCTAACAAGCAAAACAGAGAGATTAAAGTATATTTGAAATGCAGTTATATACCTTATTAAACGAAAAGCCCAACCATGTTGGCCTAGGAAAATTACTTTATTTCGTTTGCAACTCCTTCCGAAATAGTCTCGTTTTTTTCTTTTGGACTCGAAGGTTTTGTTGTAGATGGGCCTTCTTTCAATTAGATACCGTTATTCCATTGTGTAACATTGTAATAAAGTTCCACGAGCACATCTGTCCCATCGCATTAGACCAATTTTCATGAAAGAATTAAACAAGAGCCTTTCTTATATTAAACAAGAGCCTTTCTTATATAGTCACCATTCCATCTAGAATGTTTATAAGATTTTTTTACAAACAAGGTTCTTCTACCTTGGATTTGAATGGACTGACGTTACAATGTTGGACAGAATTATTTGACTGTGGGCGCGTAGTTGAGAGTGATGAGAAGCACTTGTTCAAATCTTAGAGTTGGCTTGAGTTTGTTGAAACCACCGCCATTTTGCATGCATTTATATTTTTTTGATTGGAGGTACTCGGTAAATTCACCGAGTACCACATCATCGGTAAAGTTTCTCGTGAGAGTTTATTTTATAAACTTTGGCACTTCTGTCTTTAGTCGCTGATGAAGTCTGTTCAGTAAGTTTTATCCTGCAATTGTCCACATAACAAGGGGAATCGCTTGCGAATCGTATGCCAGCATTGGACAAATATTTATGAGCGACCAAAATTATACATTTACATGTACAACACGTGTTGTTGGCCGCTCGTCGAGGCACATTCACATTTTGTGTGGTTTTTCGATATGCATGCTACAAATCATATCGAATCGAAATGGAGTCAGAATGTGCTATTGAGATAATATGGGCATCAAAGGGAAAGAATTTCATCAGCCGTTCGACAATGAAGCCGAAACGTTTCAGTCACATCGCTCCCAACAAACTGAACACCAAGGACCGACCTTGCTCTTTTCAACCGATGAGGGGGTGCTTCTTCTCGGGGCGAGTAATGTTACGTGTAGTTATACTACCGCCCTGCCGATGGATTTGGACTGAAGTTTACTGGAAATGCGCGATCTCTAATTAATGACTTGTCAAGTTAACAGACTTTGAAATTTAATATTTAATTAAATTAAACTAACAGTCTAACATACAGCATCTGGGAGTTTGGGTTTATATCGTCGTCCAAATTACTCAAAGCAATCAAATTTCAGTTCAAAAAAGATGTCGGGTAACACAAGCTTGAAAGGTAAAATTGCGTCAAATGAGGAGATTAGTATTAACTGATTTGATTGATTCTGTTTTCGTGGGTTCCCGGGCAACCACGGATATTTTGGAAAACAAGTATCCATGGGACATGGGGGCAAATCCTGATGGAGGGGGAACAACTGAAACAGGCATAATATGCTGTTCTGATGTAAGATTCTGCCGGAATCTTATGTATCTTACAAATTTATGTCCGCATCAAGAACATCACTGTCCTCTATTGTCATATTGTGTCGCTGCCCCCCTCCCCAAGCCTTTCAAATTTCCATGGTCGGGCAAGTCATCCCCCACAATCCCTTCCAACCGTCTTCTCCAATTTCCAGCACAAATGTACGCTACTGGTCGGCATCCATTAAGATTTAGTCAGGTGATGGCCGATAGTGATTTCAAAAAATGGATTTTGATAAGGGGACCTACTCAGAGAGGGAATCTTAACTTTTGTGTTGACAGGTTTTTCCTAATGGAGTCAGGTTAAGGATGGGAAAAAATAGCGGTGGCAAAATGACTCTATATGGCGGTGGGCTTCAGAGGTGATGGTCGTTGAACGGATATGTAAGAATCAACGGTTAACTCACCAGAAATGAAAAGATTATGAAAGACGAGCAAAGAACATGTCTCCAATGTCTTAGATATTACGTGTTTTATTGATTTGTTGCTGAGCGAGTAGCTTTCATTGTTATGCATGGCAGTTTTTTTTTAATTAATTGGTCTGCAGCCGTGGAGCAGCTACCGGCCGTATCGAATACTATACCGGCTTCCTGCCTCAATTGACTGCACAGTCAAAGAAGACACGCCTCATTGCATTTATAGTGAACCACCTTGCGACACAAAAGACTGGAATTCAAAGGAGAAGGCGAAACCATGCCTGTTGATGACCGAACAAACTCAGTCGATGCTGACCGATATGCATGGTGATCCAAGGCCGTCTTTGTTATGCAATGGCTGGGTGTGCAACAAGCGAGAAGGTTCGCCGTGAAGAGCACTTGTCTGTCGTGTCTGCTATCTCGCCGTTTGACTGGTGGGTAAATATGCCCTCCGAGGAAACGTAGCCCAACACCATTCGAAGGACTTGTCATTATTATGGCGACCAGGTTTAATCGTGTCTTCGTTTTTCTGGTGATTACGCTCGCGGTGTTCCTCTTCGCGTGCACCACCGTGTGGAACATTGAGTCTAACGGAGGAGTAATTCCAGGAAGAAAAGGTAACTGTATATATGCTTTTATGAGTAGAGCTGGGAGAGAAATGTTCTGTATTTATTAATTAATGTTTACACCGTAAGGTTTTCCTCTGAGTAATACATTACTGATGGTTGGACAAAGATGAGATTCATTGGAAAAAGGGGAACGTCAAGAAAGCGTCAACAGATTACGGACGCCAGTAATTATTCCCTACAGTGACGTATTAGCCGTCAAAAAGCAAAAGAGCATATCCAAAGAGGTTTGGGAAAAAACTTGAGAATTTTTCAGACTAGTCCTGAAGGGTTTGTGCACAAAGTTGGAGTTGACGTAGAAATTGTCTCTTTGTGAAAACTGAGAGTACGATTTGATTGTAACTGATTTTGACATAAGAACCTAGCTGAGATGTTTGTTGTAATCCACTTACTCTATTCCGGGGGGGGGAATAAAAAGAATTTGATATAACAATGAATTTGGCCCAGATCGTCCCTTTGTGAAAACTCTGACGCTACATTACGGCTAAAATTCTGAGAGCAAATAATTCCTTTTCAAAAACTGTTAATCGGGTAACCACCAGCTACCATGTGACCAAAGTGGTTCTGAACGTTTCAGAAACTCTCCGAATTTTCGGGCTCACTGATTTTATGTTGTTGTCAATATCTACAGTTGTTTTTTCCCCTGATTTCCCTTCATGCCACACGATTCTGCCAATTGTCTCCACTCTTTCTGACTGTGTTTTCATTACTGGTTGTAACTTTCCTTGTATTTTCTCACACTGCAAAATGGAAAATGTAATTCATTTGGTTATTTATAGCAGTGCTTACGTGTGAGGTCGCAGTTAAAAAATGCACATTGTGGCCTTCGTGAAGGTTGTCTATCACATCAATTTTGGCATGCCATACTTGTTTTATAACTAAATACGTTAACACATGTTCACAAGAAAGCTGAAACAGACCTTTATTTGCTACAGTGTACGTCACAATCACTGGAGGCGGAAGGGTGACGCTGGGGAGACGGGTTGCTCCCCACTTTTTGCAGGTCTAAATGGGGTTGGGCTTAGTGGATCGGCCAATTTATGGCTGATGCCTGGTAGCCTCACAACTGTCCCCAACTTTGAAAGTTTTTCCAACGCCGTTGGCCACAAACTATGGCAGGCCATAAGATTGAAACCAGAGTAGAGAATCAAAAAGCTGTGCAAAATTTCCATGCCAGCAATAAAACACGAATACTAAATTCTCTTACCGACTGCTAAATGAAATGGGCTCCAATTTCGGGCTGCAGAAACACATGTGCATTTCGAGGAAAAGATTGTTTTTCACCAAGGGTAAACGTTTTGGCAAACTTTGACTGCCCATGCAAACTGATGGTCGGTGTTTATAAACAAAAGCAAACCCTAGCATTCTCGATATTTACTGACCACATGTATTTCCTTTATTTCATTTCGCAGATGCATTAATTATTTTACCTCCAGTGCGTCGCTCTTATGAGAAATCAGCAACCAGTCTGAACACCATAAGACTCAGTACCACATGGAATGGCTCTCAGGATGTCCCTGCGAGCCAACAGGTGGCGAACGGTACTATCACCCTTCATGCAGCTGCAAAATCCGACCAGGAGACAATCCAAACTCTGGGAAAACAGCAACGAATTGTTATCATTGGTAGCGGGCCTGCCGGTCTAGGTGCTGCCAGGAGACTACTTGATCTCATACGCAAGTCTAACGAATCTGTGATTACTATCCTGGAAGAGGAGGGTAGACCTGGAGGCCTAGCCTCGTCTGTCAGGGATGATCAAGGCTTTCTCTGGGACGCTGGACTTCACGTCGTCTTCTCCCATTACACTTATTTTGATCATGTCGTGAACATGGCTGTACCCGAGTGGAACTACCGGCGTAGGGCGTCATTTGTCTTCATGAAAGGATCAGATGCGAACAGGAGATTCATTCCTTATCCAGTCCAAAACAACATCCACACAATGGATAAAGGAGATCAGCAGAGAAGTCTCCAAGGATTAGAGGAGGTTACCAAACAACCGACTTCCAGAAAACCTACCAATTTCGACGAGTGGCTGCTGCAGAAATTTGGAGCGGGTCTTGCCGACATTTTCATGAGGAAATACAATCGGAAATTCTGGACTGTTGACACCACAGAAATGAACTCAGCCTGGGTTGGTGAGCGGGTTGCGATACCAGACATCGCAGAGATTAAAACTAAGATCGAAGAGGTTGACAACAAGACAGGCGCCAAGGATTCTGAGCAGGGACTAATCCCTTTCTTCCGTTTTCCAAAATACAATGGAACAGGTGGACTTTGGGAGTCAACTGCAAGACAGCTTCCAAGTCACTGGATCCGATTTCGTGAAAAAGTTAGCGGTATAGATATTGACAAGAAAGTTATTACAATAGACAAGGGACACAATTCTAAATATACTTTAGAATACGATACGTTGGTATCCACGACCCCCTTGGGCATTTTCACTGGTTTACTGAAAAGCAGTGATTTGTCTTTGCAGCAAATACAAGAGCAAGCATCCAGGCTAGTGTACACACACATTCATGTCGTTGGTATCGGCCTATCAGGCCAGCCACCCCAGACGCTCGCTGATAAATCTTGGGTGTATTTCCCCGACTCTGATTCTCCCTTCTACCGGGTGACGATGTTCTCCAATTTTTCCGACGATCATGTACCAAAATCAGGAAAATATTGGTCACTTATGTGCGAAATAACCGAACCGCAGAAAAACTTAGATTCGGTCGTCTGGAATAAAGAAAATTTGATAAAGGCGTCAATAAGAGCCTTGGTCTTGTACGGGTTTATCACTGATGATATTGTAGTCTCCAAGTACTATCGTCGCTTGGAGCACGGCTATCCTATCCCTTCGCTGAAGAGGGACATGATCCTTGAAACAATACAGCCTTGGCTTAAAACCAAAGGCATTTACTCCCGTGGAGCATTTGGAGGTTGGAAGTACGAGGTTGCAAGTCAAGACCATTCCTTCATGCAGGGTGTTGAAGCTGTGGACAACTTTTTAAACGGTTTTCCTGAGAGGATATACCCTAACCCGAGTCTGATTGATTCCACGGAAAACAAGGAGCGTAAGATCCCTGAGGATTATGTCATCGTCATTGCTCAGTACACAGAGAGCCTCGACTGGGTCAAGCCCTTCGCCGGCCACACCTTCGTGTACCACAAGGGCGGCGACCTGAGGCCGACTCGCAAATGGCTCTCTTGGGAAAGTCTGCCCAACATCGGTCGGGAGTCCCACAGCTATCTGCACCACATCATCACCAACTACGACCAGCTCCCACGTGTGACTGTGTTCTACCCCGGCGCGATTGCCGATCATAAGAACTGCCCGCAAAATCCTCGTGTGTCGATCTCGGCTGCAAAGCGCGGCATTCCGTGTCGAGGAGACAGTCCTTTCAACGTGCACAGGGGACATGTCATTGGCGGCAGTTACCTGAAAAAGCCCAAGAACAAGTACTTTCGGCGATCGGACTTTACTTTCCTGGAATTCTACGAGTACATTTACCGTCGGAAGCCAGCTCACCCAGTAATAAAACAATGCTGGAAGGGCTGCTTTGCCGCGACGAAAGCGATGATCAAGCGCCACCCATTGGACTTCTACATCAGAGCAATTTCGACTCTGGGCAAATCTTCTAACCCCGAGGAGGGCCACTATTTTGAGAGACTATGGTATCACATGTTCCACGATAAAACGTGATAGTTTTGGTTTTGTTTTGATCTTACCTCGATCCAAAAATGTGTACTCCAATCCTTAAACTTACGTTGCCTAAATATTACAAAGCACCCTCTTAACGGCTGAAACCATCGTATCAAGACAAAATTAACTTCAAAATTCTTCCATTTTCAGTTTAAATTTATGACACTTTTTAATATAGCCCCGAATTTCTCTATTTACAGAGCATGCTTACTTCAAAAAGGGTGCTTTGGGAAAACGAAGAGATAATCGCAGGAAAACTGGACGTCTTTGTTCATAATTCCAAAACAGTACACGGTGAATTTTTTTACCAGCTTCCCATTGATGACATCGACACTGAAATACATGTATTAATTTTGTGCAGATGTACATGTAACTTCCGGCGCAAACATCGCAGTCTTCTGCTTATTTCTCCTTTTGTTTTTCTGGACTGTTTACTGGCAAAAAATTTGTTGACTCCAAGAAATCAAGATGTCGCCTGACATGCTAAATAGGCATTTTGTTGAAAACCCAGTGCTTAGGGTTATAGGAAATGGCTTTAAGACGTCCTGTTTCCAAGGCGAACGGAAATGATGTCAAACTCGTCTATTCAGCGATATTCATGATCACTCTGGACATGCATCTTGTGGGTAACGTAGGGTAGTCTGGTTCCTAGACCCAGTGAATTTTTTTTAATCAAAGGGTCCATTATCTAGTGGTATCACGTAACAAAACCGAAAGGAGTTCATCCCTTTTCCAAAAGCATCCGAAATATTTGAAACTCTTTGCCGTCAACATTTGGATAGTATCGCTGGTGGTCGGACATTTTCAGTCGTGTTCACGATCAACGAATGAATGTCCCAAATGCATACAGTCATAATGAATATAGTTAACGGAAGCGGATCTTTCAATCTTTAGCTTTCAGTTGTACTGATTAAACTTCTCGTTTGCTCGTTTTGCATCGATAAATGCACCGCAGCCTTGGTAAAGCAAGTGACCGACAAGGCCTGCAAATGAAAATGTTTGTGCTATATCCTCGTTCCACGTTTGAGGCAATCTAGCGAAGCTAGCTACTGCTTGGTTTTTTCTTGTCTTAAAAATTACATTATAGTTTGTTCTTGTGTATTTTGTGCCATTTGTACTATATTATGTGAAGTAAACGTACATCCCCAAATGGAATGAGCGAAACGGAAACGGCTTCCAGCAGTGACTGAAGACGTCGTTTTTTTTATTATAACATCCCTGATGATGCTATCCTGGTAATCACTGACCTGTTGCGTCATGAAGTATATTTAGCCATTGGTGAATGATATAAGATTTTATCCCAGAGTCGTATAGAATCTGCACCGGTCAGGGAGCCAGACTTAACACAGTTTAGATTAACATTATGTGATAGCTAATGGAGGGTTTTCGTTATTAATCTTTAATTACACAGGTGAGCTAGTCCAACGTATCAGTAGACACTTGGCAGATCAGCGTCCATTCCACTGATCATTACCATGGTTATGTCCCTTTAGAGTTTGTAGCTAATGAAGTGTAGATAAAGGGGGGAGTTGATGGGAGCATTAACAGCCATAAAATAGTCATACAGATTCACTAGTGCGTGACATGACCGGGAAATAACCTGGAGACAAAAATATCCACATCGCGTAGGTGTTATTTTGGGGGCGTGGCTTCTCGCAGGTTTTCAAGAGTTCTAAAGTTGTCAAAATAAAGCCAACGGTCGGTACAGTTTTGAAATTAATGACGCGCTGAGTTCTGTATGACTATTGGCTTTATTCGGGGCAAACATAGACTTGACTCAAGTCTGGCTCTCTGTAACATCTTCGTTTCTACTTTGGATGAATATTGAGACCGCTCGCCGTACCTAATAGCTTTGCGCCCTCTTGTGTCCATGTATTACTAGAGGGGCTCATCTACAAAAAGTGGTATCAGCCAATCACATTGCCGGACTTGTACACATTACGCAAGGTCATGTCGTTCATTTTAAATTCTTAATAACCACATATCACCACCGGGGGTCCGATTGGCTTATCCGTCAAGTCGGACTTACTTACTGGTGACGTACATATATAACACACAGGCCGAGTTCGGGCGGCTTGTTCCCGTATGTTTACGAACAGCTCAATTTGTTGTTCGTGGGTCTGCTGCTCGAACGCCGCGAACAAACAATCGGTTATCGCTGGTAGTTAGTGACGAGCAACATGCAACATGGCGGCGTCCAAGTAGGCTACGTTATCCGAGAGTAAATGTTTGGATGGGAGGAGTTCTTTTCTATATAAACAGGAACATTCATTTCTGTGTTACGGAAACTAATTAATGTTAATTTTGCGAAACTTCTAATTGTCTATGGCTAAACCCATGGCAAGAAAGGCCGTCCGATCTCGACCACAGTGTTCAATAAAGGCTATCAAATGAGGGCGCCTTATAAGGGTTATGCGAGCTGCGCTGCCGGGCCAAGCGCGACGACCGTGTGGGATGACGGGATGGCTGACTAGGGAAGAGCAACGTAAAGTCCAAATTAATTCAACACTGATAGCCCCCTAGCTATGTGAGCGCCCTAGGTTGATACCCCTAGGTAACGTGACGCAGCGGGCGCACTCAGTCTAAGTTACTGGTGATACATGTGTTTACATCTATTTTCTTCGCTTGTGTCAATGCAATAAAAACTGCTACCATGCCTATGTGCGTTTTTTTCGATAGCTTACCAAACGTCTGTGCTGGAGCAGATGCTTCTCTATTGTCAGATACCTGAGTTAATCAGTTCATATTCAATCTAAGAGGCTAGCAGAAAACACTGGCGAATGTCTCAAATTTTTTTGTGACTCAGCCAGTGATGTCTGATGTATTCTAATGCTAAGGCAAATTCTTTATGTATTGTAATTTCTTCGAATGTAGTACAGCTACTGCCGCTCTTGGAAGCTGTAGTCGATTCACTGACGCTCTCCCCTCGCTTCCATGCCTTATAAACGGCCATCAACCTCTTGAGGGCGTACTGCACCAACCCTACTACCAGTGAGGCGTTCATCAGGCCCATCGCGATCCCCAGGAACTTGACTGCGCGTGCCGGCAGCGGGTGCGCGACCACGCAGTGCACGAGATACTGCGAGACGACGCCGCGGATTGTCAGGAAGCTGGCCACGAAGGCGACGTCGTTGACTTCGTACCACATGTTTCCCTTGTGGATGCCCTCTTCGCGTAGGAACCAGCGTAGCTGCAGCATGGGGTTCGTGCACTCCATGAGACCAATGGCGGCGCTGACCTCTGTGCCCGACAAGCCCATCCAGAGTGACGTCATCATCCCAGCCATGGAGACTGCGTGATGGGCGGCGAAGAAGTTGAGTCTCGTGGCCGTAGACTTTGAGCGCCACACAGAAAATCGTATCAAAGAAGAAATATCCCAGACAGGTGACTAAAACAGTGGCCTCAAACAGGTTTGAAACGCCACCTGCACAATAGAAAAAAAGGTCACATTTAGTAAGCACCATGTTCGATGAGGGAGTCATTTTTATTAATTAAAGCATGTTCATTATATTTCATGCTGCGTAACCTTGTTGGGTTTTAGGAAGGTTTTGAGTTACTCATATAAGTGAATTATTTGTAAGAAGCTACTTATTTTTATTCACCTTCAAAAGATATGATCGTTGTAAAAATAATAAATAATTTAATAAAGCCCCTGCTCAGAGAATGAATAACAAACGCAATGAGATCTTAAATATTGCGGGAAATGGGGAAATTCAGAACCAATCCTTCCTAAACCTGCTTGGCGTGCTTAGATAACATCCCCAAACATTTCTGACTTGATTTCCACACGACGACGTGAGGTTGTCTTGGCCTACCGCGTACCGTTGTGCATCTTCATTTCACTGCAAAAATAGGGTGTTAAATTAAACATCCCTGGTGTTATCAGAGGACTACACCAACACTGGTGTTATAATTCTGGTGTTATTTGGTGTTACCTTTAACACCCTCCAGTGCCTTGTAAAACAGGCACGCAAAATAACACCAGCGGAGTTAAAGTAACACCCTATGGTGTGGTCATCTGATAACACCAACAAGTGTTGATTTTAACACCAGAGTTTTCACAGTATTTGAAAGCAACCCATTCCAATGATCTTTTAATATTCTGTATGCATTCAAACCAAACATTTACCGTAGATTAAGAGAAAGAATCCCACCAAATTGAAATGGTCCATGTGATGAATGTTTTTGTGTAGACACACGTTTTCTTGAAACTTTCAGCACGTTTTTGGTGAAAATTTAGCTCTTCCTGACGATTGAGGGCGCTGTTGCTGTGATGTCATTTCAGGAGGATATACTGCTCGTTCAGGGGGATTCTGTTTAGGTTGTGAGCACCAAAATTATCTCTTGGAAATAATTATGGAAAAATTTGGTTCATTGGCCTAATTATACATACTGGGACCTAGACAGATTGCAAAAAGATAACAATTTAAGACGTCTGTGTCCCGAAATTTCTACTATATTTTAGTGCTGAAAAACACATGTAATAATTGGGTTGTTTCCCGTAATGACTTAACACTTTCCGTCAAAATACAAATTTGCATCAGCGTAAAATGAAGAATACAAACCATCCAAAAGTGTATTTGCGAGGACTGCTTTACGGAAATTATGGAACATTTTAAAAGAGGGGAGCCGAGCACAACTTTCCTCCTTTGTTCGATTTTTCGAAGATTAAAAGCAACCACTTGCCACCATGACAGTCCCAATAAACGAAAAGGTACACCGTCGAAAGGGGCAGGAAAATGCTCATACACGTGCAAATAAACCTGATAAACTCACACGTATCACGTAGAGGTTGTTAAGAATTCAACCACTATGAAGTCTTAGTCAAAGCTACGAAGTTCTGCTGGCAAATAGACGAGACAGAAAATTATATATCGCAGCATTTCTTTTAACTACGCTATTTTCTATTTGATTCTTTATAAGGTAGCGAGCTATGAGGTTTGCAGTAGCAGCACGCAAGGGTACCTCTTCATGGGCATGTTTGGTTCTGAAAAGAACCACATTATTTGGCCCCGTGTTATTAATCCAAGTAGATGGACAAGTTCGGAATTGAACCCTTACTATACACGTAGGAAAAAACTAAACGTAATTACACAAAAATCTCAATAGAAAATTTGGAATGATGTGAGCTGCGCGCCGAGTGACTGACCTCTTGTCTGTTGTCCTGGGTAGGCCTATATACAGAACGATATTCAAAAACTGCCTTGGGTCGATTGCCTTGAGGGGTTTATCAGACGCAAACAACCGATCATCTCGTGCACACAAGGTTGGTATGGTGTCCCGCTTTGGCAGGTCTGATCCTGGCCATGGTAGGTCATGGCCATATGAACGTTGATTTTACCGGCTATGACGTCACTGGAACAGGATCCGAACTGCAACAGAGGGCTTATGATTTCCAGCCAGGGAGCAGAATTTTTAAACAATACATTCGGGAAACTCAACTTGAATAGAGGCTACCGTCGTGGCTCTTGACGATTGTTTTCAAAGTGAAGTAAATCTGACTTTCAACAGGGGAGGCTTTCCACGAGGAAACTTGTTTCCTCTTAAGATTGGCAATAAACCCAAGTTGCATTTTTTTTATTTATCGTTAATTTATGTATTTTTTAATGGAGACGTACATGGTGCATCCCATTCAAACGCCCTCACAGTTCTTTGATTCATTAACTTTAATATACTGCCAACAAACGGGCAGGTCTATAGACCATAGGTGTTTCGTTCAATGGTGACAACTCCCCTCCTGTTCGTATTACCGCTGCTGAAAGTGGGAGGATGACAGGTGTAAAATGTGTCATTGGGATAAATTAACGCCATGCAAATTTCCCTTGTACAATTGTCTCCGATACCGATGTTACAAAACCGACAATCACAGTCCTAGCGTAAACAGAGACTTTGAACAGTGAATCATAATTTGAAGGAACAATATTTGAAACCAATGATAGCAGTCAACTGTCGACATTCAACGGAAGTTAGCGCCCCTTGTGATTCGTTCTCTATTTTGCTAATTGTCGTAGCTGGATCATTTCCATGACCATTTGGAGTTCCTGCATATATAATTACTGTCTAGATTTGGCAGGGACGGTCAGCCTAAGATCTGTTTCAATTGGCCTGATGTCGGCTATGGAAAAAATCCCGACTGCCAAGAATGAAATGTGTAGGTGCCAGAGATTTCCCCCCGGGATGCTCCGGGGTTAACAGTTGACCAAATATTAGAGGGTTGAATATGCTGGGTATAAACAGATGAATGCTTGTAACACTCATGGTTCAGATGTTGTACTGTGAATGTGTTGAGTATGTTTGAACCCTAAAAGAGCCAGCTTTGTTTTTGCCCATTTCACAGCCTGCGGGCGGATACTGCCCCCCGTGCCTCTCGTGATTATTGTGAAACTTGAAATGCCTGTACAAACATTACTAAGCATTGCAGCTGTGAGGTTTGAACTCATTCAAAAGTACAGTTTTGTTGTTACGGTTATTTGAAGTTCATGGCTACATGCGTACCAGTGCGCGTGCATTGAGCACCGTAGTGGAAAAAGTAAATATTTTTGGCTGACCCGTCTCTGGCATATGCACGCTGCGCGAGAACAGTATGTTCATTTTTTGAAAAAATGGTGTCAATATGACCACAAAGAGTTACTCTAAAAACTCCTAAAGGCTCAAATCCTGAAGAATGCACGGCGGCGATATTGGTAAAAATGTCCAGGGTCATCCCTACCCAGCTCCTTTGGGGGTAAACTCTAAATTCAGTTGACGTTTTCTTTTCCAGGCATCTACTGCAGGCACTGTTTTGTCCTTGCCTTTAACATTTGTTCATGTTATTGTTCTTGAAAAATAATAATGACTCAGTGAGGCATTCGTGCATGGATACGGGAGTGATTTAATTTACACACTTTACCTGGATTTGTGAAGGGAGACGGATTGTACCAGACCCCAAATACGAGTGACATGGTGGAAACCGTGACGCCGTGAATGGCCCCTACGATGCGGCTGTTCCAGCCGTAGCTGCGACGGGGTTGCAGGCAGCAGACGACGGTGAACACAGTCGTCCAGGCGACGAACGACACCAGTACTGCCTTGGCAGCGTTCCATCCGCTTGGTGCATCCATGCCGGCCGTTTTAAGTGTCGACTGAAACAGCAAGGGAAACAGAAAGACTTGTTAGACCGATGAGTGCTGTCTCATCGCTTATTTTCTTCCTAAGGTTTTTCCGTTCGGCAATTAAAACCATCCTACCAAGTGGTTTGAGAAACTGGGAAAGAATTCATAATACCAAGACAGATGTCGCACGTTAAGTTGATATCAGTGACTGTAGTCATTTCAGTATAGCACGAGTACAAACTAGGACCTGGGGAACATTGGTTTAGAAACGAAACCTTAAAATAACTGCCAAATGTCTGTGTCAACAAACATTGAGTATTTTCAATTCGCAGAACACAGAAGTTCTGGTAAATTTTGAAATAGCCGGTTTTGCCGTTGGCGCACCCAGTGTGTGCCTCTACGCAGTCAGCCGATCTGACTTGCCACTGGTGTTTAGAAAAAAAAAGGCTTTTAAACCAAAAGGCAATGCTGGAAGAATGCCGGTAATATATTACTGCATTATGATATCGGCGCAAATAAGTGTCCTCACTTGAAGTCAATTCTTGTTGAAGTAGACGTTTTTTTCCTAGCATAAAACAAAATTGTTGGCTGCAAATTTGTGCCATACATTGAATAGCCTGAATAAAAGACCCATCTTTTCCGACGGGAAACAGACCAAAAAAAAGAGCCACATTTATGAACATTTACAATAATCATACTTTTTCAAGTCCACTACTCTATGAATAAACCAGCGCGACCAAACTCCCCCATTCAGTCCAGTTGCCCACTGTAGTATTCCAAATCTGTTATGCGTAATTATTCATGTGCCCATGTGAGAATGTATTACTAGCACACTTCCAACTCGGCATTTTGGAAGCTGGATTGGGTGATACCTTATTATAATCCGTGCGCTAGCGTGAAAAACGTTCATTGTCCTCTTTTTGTACAGAGAAATGGTTGTCACTTAGCATTGACTTACTTATCAAGAACTCTCATTTTCACTGATGGAATGTGATTTAGCACACGTGATAAGTGAGGATTATTAACAATTAAAAACACGATGATGGAAGGCCAATACATATTTTCTGTCTGTAGAGCCATTGGAGAGTTTTTAAAACATGCTCTTTAAGGGTCCAGGTATTACTGATGGTTAACCTTCGAGAGGAGAACAGCCACAACGAGCCAAGTTTTAATGAGCTTGTCCACTTTAAATAGGAACTCTGAAACGATGATATTACTCACCAGTGTTATCCAGGCAGGTGTAAGCCGGAGGTGTTTTAGGCGAGTTTGAAGAGTTACTGCAAGGTACACCGGGATGAGAAGACGAGGACCCTCGTGTTCCTTGTCCATACAGGGCTCGGTGATTGAGACTGATGTCCACCAATGTAATGTTTGTATTTTTTAACCTTGTCAAAAGTGGGATGTAATGTAAGGCGATCGTTTCCAGTGCGATCTCTACAAACGTATACAGGCCCCGCACTTCTGCATCTATTGGAACTATTAATTCACGCCCTTGGCTAAACACACATTTTTATGCGTGCATGCACGGCGTAATGCCATTAATACCTGTAATGACCGATTTGTATGGCTGTTGCTTGAGCAGGTCGGCTTGTCACGAAAACAAGGCATTCAACTTTTTCAGGTGTGTGCGACCGTAGTTTCTGTTCTACAAAGCCCCATGGCGGTACGATATACGGCATATTCAGTTGTTTCACTTGAGTAAATATTCTGAACTCGTTGAAAGAGTGCTTTAGGCAACTTGCATGGATCCTTTATGGAACGCAGAAACCACAATGAAAGAATCCCTTTATGTGCAAAACGACGCAAGATGGATGGACACATTATTGCTGGTACCTTACTTCCAGTGATCTACTGCTGCTATGAGGCTGGTAATCGTGGTTTAAAATCGATCTTAATATCAAACCAAGTACTGGAAGAAAATCATAATTCTCGCATCCCAACTGTTATTATGCAGGTGGGTTCGAAATGGAATGCCAGATGTCAAGAATGTAGGCCTACATCATGTGCCAACCTACAACAAAAAGCGTCTTTTTGGGGGGAAATTTTGAAAAGCATCAATTCACCCGAGTGCAGCCACGTATGCTTTAGCAAAAAAAAAAAATTAAACATGGCGTATCAAAAATGGCTTCCAGAGCTACGGCTACGTCTATTGTCTGTGCATCTCCTCGTATTTCCAGTGGAATGGAGACCAAGACCTAGCCCTAGACAACAGATGTGGATGCAGCTAGTGACCCCTCTATTGTTAATGAAACATCTCAAACATATTTAGAGCGGAACAAAATACCTTTTCGGCTCTTTCAAATAAGCTACATGTCCAGAATACATGTCCAGCTCTGCATTCTAAACTACCACCAAGTTGGTGTGATGTTTCCTGATGGATTCCTGGCCAACTATATGATTCAAATTCAGCCATGGTAAGAGAAGGGAGTGGTTGACCCCTGGATTAACACATCCGGCTTCTTTTGATCTTTTAATGATTTTTTTGGTTTATGCATGAAGTTCATGATGCAAACACAGGGTTTGACAACCTTTGTGCGGTGATGCGTTGACACTTTTATAAAGTTTTCCCCTGCAGATATTGACTTCTTTATAGGAACTGGGGGCTGACCAGCATTTCAGAAACGGTGCTATATAAAACCTATAATGGGGTGTAAATGAGGACTCTTTTCGGGATGACAAAGTTTAGGGAGAGGCACTTTCTAGAAAAAAAATCCATGTCCTGCCCCAGACATCGATGTGCCTCTGCAACGGCAGATGATCGTCTGGTCTCCGGAATCGATGACAGCAACCCCATGGGTTTCAGGTCAGTCAACAGGTACTGGTAAAAACGTGCCTGAGTGGACCAAATCACGATTTGCCTGCTGTCCAAATAACTATTGCGGTATTTTGTGGCACATGAACTGGATAGTTGGTAGAACAGACGGGTGGAAGCAACCAGCAGGACGGACACTGCCAGCTTGTACTTCAGATGCAGAAAATTAGCCAAAGCGGGACCCTCCAAATCGCTCTATTTTGCCATCAATTGATATCGATTTTTAAAATGGCCATTGGCTTCAAGACTGTTTTTTCTTTTCTAGGCGATTATTTCTGGATAATGAAATTTCTTCAAAAACCACTGGTTAAGCAATTAAAAATGGAACGGAAAATAAAAGATTGGTTAATGAACTTTATGTTGGTGTGTGTCTTGAACACTTGAGTACATGTATTTTGCCTGACTTTTTAAAGTGGAGAGCATCTACCATTGTTGTTGATGGCAGCTTATTTACTGGTCTGCATTGGGCCCATGTACTTTCCTGCAAGCTTGAGCTTAAAAGGTAGCGGCCATTGTTACACAATGACGTCGATCGTGGAAGATCGTAAAAACAATTATCTGTAAATATACGGCATTAGCCATTTTTCAAACCTCGGCTTCATTTTTTTGCGGCTGAGAGAATAAGATGGCCGTTTTCTACAAGCTGAACATCAAATTATACCACACGAAGCTGTCACCTAAGTTTTCAACTGGAGCTCCTGATGACCAAGGTATTCAATGGAATTCCGGATGCAGGGCTAAAGCCGCCGCTGGAACAAAGCCAGGATTTGAGAAGTTGCCATGGCGACCTTACAAAGTACTTGTCGGACACATACAATAAGGACGAGAACAACCTCCAATACTGCCTCCATGCAAATCAATAGCTTCATGATAAAAAAAAACTGCACATGGAAAAAAAATATTTTAACGTGACAATGGGAGTCTTATAAAAAGCAAATATTAATAACTAATCTTCAACATAAAAATGAAAGAACGAATACCATGGAGATACATGCATTTGTGGGAACATCGGTCAAGAGCAATGTTGCTCTTAAAACAAGATAAAATATAGGAAACATTTCATTGCCCTCTCCCCTTAGCTGCTAATGGTAAAACTGCTGTCATCTGAATGGGTCATATTTGACTGACATTTTGGTAAGCAATTTCTGGTCGTACAAACGGGGGGACTGTTCATTTCTAGCAGAAATGTCATAATACATGTAACTCTATAATGACCCTAAAACAATTTAAGTATAAATGCACTTAAAACTAAAGCTGAACAGTCTAAAACAAATACACTCACGAGAAATGCGACACCCAGACATGGTAGTATTTTCATTACAAACTTTTTACGAATGGGAACAATACACTGGGATTGGAACACCAATATGCCAATACTGACCGCCACTAAAATATGAATTTGGCTGTCCAATTGCATAGTTAGTTGTATAATAATTAAGTATTGTTTATACAACCTTGTGAGTCCCGCCATGTAATCTGTGGACTGCGGATCAAGTGTCATGAATTCGTTCTGATGAATTCGTCTTTGATATTAAAATGGCGTTCCATTTCGCCGGTAAATGGATCGGTCAACATTCTATCAACGGTCACGAGAAGTCTGTGAACTCTTAAAATGACGCAGAGATTTATTGAGGCAAGGAAGCGGCCAGACTGGTGTCAATAATGCAATATAATCGGGATGGACAAGCCAAGAGTACGGTAGAGCTTTCTTGAGCAGTGACACGCATCGTGCGATGTTCTAATTGCATGTATACTGTACTAATTCTGCTAAGCAAACACATGGAACATGGATGACACAATACACTTCTCATAAAATTCATTCAGCCTTTTTGTATCTAAATTGAAAGTTAATATGCCAGCATTAACGACCCACTTTGAAATTTTAAATTTAAGATGAAGAGAAAGGTGATTAGTTCAAACCTGCACCCAAATAATTTCCGAAAGTTAAGTGTCCATGACATGAATTTTACCTGAGAACTTACTCTCTTGCATTTTTCGGCTTTTATCTACTTAAGAAATCTATAGTAATTCTTGAAATTGCACTTGGTAAATATGAAACATTTTCGATGCATTTCCTGACTAATGGGGTCGCTGTTACTCTGATGTCACCAGAGCTGTATGGGGTACCGGTAACTTTAGACTATGGAACCAACATGGCTGTTCATTATGTTTGCAGTACACCACGCAGCTGTTTTGCGCTAGTAGACCGACTGCGCCCAATAAGTCACATGACCTATAGTGGGTACATCAACAAACATGGATCTGCCCTATAGCAAAGTGTGTCATAGGTGTCATTACCGAAACATATAGCTGACGTAGCCTAGAGTGCTCGGACGACTGATGTGCTGAGTGCTTTACCGAAAATCGGCTTTTTAAACAACACTTTAGAGATGATTGTAATGCAAATTTAATGCAGTTGTCGATAGTGCTCTTTTGTATGCCATTGAAGCTCACTTTCAATTTTTGTCATGCTGTCGAAGAGCATTTTGCTGCTTTTTAAAAGTTTTTATGCTGATACAAATTTGCGTATTTGTGAGCAAAAGTGGGACGCCATCTAAGGCATATACCTCAGCGTCCCCTCTATTTCTGCACTAATATTTTGCCAAAGTTACACCTTTTGTGTACGATCAGCAGGAATTCGCAATTGGAGGAAAAAAAATTCCACAAAACATCGAGCATGAGGTTAATCGAGATGACAATTAGGTACTTAGACTGTCGAGGGCATATTAAAGCTAACAAGGCGCTGGATCTTTGGTTGTAATTATTTCAACAAAGTGTTCGAACAAAGTGTAGAAATTAGCAAAGCCGGCCTGAACGACTAGGACTTAAATTTAAAATCAAGAATTTGACTGTCAAAAATCCTATACTATCCGTCGGTATACTGGAAGTCACCCTACCGCAAAAATTAATCCCTGAGGGATAGGAAACTCTACCTGCTTTCCCATGGCAATGAAGAATGGATACTGGACTTCGGGGATGGAAAACATAACACGATATCTCCTTCCGATAAAGAATCGATGCTTAGGACTTGGGACCATATACTATTACGTAGGGCCATTGCTTTGATATACACTAGTCATTTACTGATTCGCAAACTTTGGTGTTGTTTTGATCCTTGAGAAAATAATCGTTCCCATCATTTTTAATTCCGAGAACCATTGTCTTGAGAATAATTTACCCACATTTGTTCTGATCAGTGCCTATACCAAAATGCAATCAATTTTTGCTTGCTGGTTAAAAAAATGGCGGTCAATCTCTTTAACGGCATTTTCAATGATAGTTTGGAGCTCTTTTTTATATCTTGGTTTTATCGAGGGCTGGTAGATTTTCAGAGCTTTCTTTGCGACCGGATGGGGAAAGTTTATTGTAAGCCACTATCATTATTTGTCCCATAAATATTATGCTGACAGCATAGAGCAATATTCCTCCCAGTTTAAAAAACAGATGAGGCACAGGATGCAGGAGGTAGTGGTAGATCCAATAGGTACCAATGCCTACACGGATGATAAAGAAGGCCACGAGGAACACGACTTGGTTCAGCTCGTAAAGGATCCCCTCTGTGATGCCCGCGTTGCGCATGAGCCAGCGTATCTGCAACATGGGGTTGGTCAGTTCGGCCAAGAACAGGCTAAAGTTAATCTCCGTGCCAGACAAGCCGGACACCAGCGACGCGCTGGTGAACAGAATGCAAACCAGATGGTGCAAGACCATGGCTCTGTTATGCCTCGTGTCGTACAGCATGCTCCGGATGAAATCGTACAGGAAATAGCCGTTGCACACCACCATGGTACTATTCTCGTATGGGTTGGATTTCCCTCCTAATATACAAATGCAAAACGGGTACCGATTCGTGAGGTCATAATTAGGAAACTAATAAAACAAAAATAGTAAGCTTGGAAACCAATCTATCCCC